GGACAGGGGGGGGGGGGGGTCAGCTGCGGAGATGGGTGTGTAAGGGGGGGGGGGGCAGCTCGAACACCAGGCGCGGTGGACATACTGCGGTGACCGTTTATTTGCGTTCGCGGGGAGCGAGTGAGTGCCACGTTCATTACAGCCGGCTGTTTGGCATATTGCGAGCCTAATAACAATACATTGTGGCCATCCGGCCGGCGGCCTAATGGCCTGGCCCCGACGACAGGCCGGCGGCGACGCCGACACCCCGAAGAGACTGCCATCGGCCCGGTGACGGACGTCCACAATGAACTGCTCACGGACATTCCCACTGACGACTGAAACGCCCCAACGATGCATCGGGACGTCTGTGGTGACTGGCTGACACTGCCCGCCACTCACTGACGGGCGCGCGCAATGTCATGCCCGCCTGACATGGCTGACATTCCTGATGAGGTCACGCACTGACACGCTCTATGACAGACCGGCCGGCAATCGCAAAGACAGACCGACTGGCATTCCGAATCATAGACAGGCGGAAGCCACGCTACACGCAGCTTTGAATGATGGTCTCATTGTTAAAGCGTAACGACGGCTGGATAGAGTAGAAATATACACTAATGGGCGTGACAACGCACTAAACCTGAAAATATTTTCTGTAAAGATAACATCTTTTCCAGACGCCGTAACGGTGCCAAACAAATCTTTTCACCGCAAACCGGGTTTTGAAGTACCGACATCGATGTGTGCCAGCGTCATTCGAACGCACGCTCGCCACCCGAAAGAATGTGCGACATAAAGCAAACGCGACGGACTCAACTGTCACGGAAAAATACGTCCCCGAAACCGGTTGCAATACATCAGTGCACACGCTGCCCCGGATTCCAGGAGAAGCGGACATCAAGGAAGCAGCTGCATGTTTGTAAACCAATGCGAGGAAACGCAGAAGAAAACCATGATCGCCGAGGTGGAATGTGAACAAACCCGTCAAAGATTGTCACATACGGACCCAGACCATCCTAAGCAAATCTGGTGACCAATGATCAGTTGAAAACTTCAAACAGCTGAAAACAAGCATCGTTGACATCACTCTGGAAAGCTGGGACCACACCGCTCCGCAACAGCTGACAGCACGTAACACGTGGCCTCGGACAGCCCGAGCGGCACGAGCGTGCGCCACGTGAGACTGACCTTGGAAAGGTCGCGGTAGTTGCTGGGCAGGCTGAGGTCGAGCTCGGGCGACTCGTAGTTGGTGATGACCCACGGGAACACCGGGTACTGGTTCAGGTCGTTGTACGTCCGACCTGAACACAGCCCGTACCCATCAGCCACTGAGGTCATAAGCTTAACAAGAGCCGGCCGTGAGCCTATTACTGCGCATCATCTGCAGGACATACCGAGCAGTTTAGCATGCCTTAGGGACATCTGCTTGATTTGATCATCACGGGTAAAAGGCTGATGGGGGACCGAGTTCGGGTTCACGAATCACCATTACGGTCTTTTATTCCCAGCAGGTTTTGAACAGCTCATAGGACCAGAAACCGGTCTGGAATAGTAACTGGGAGTCAAACATGACGGTGCAGGGTCACGCAGTCACGCCTGGCAAATATCTACAACTACAGCGAATGTATTTTTCGACTACGCTTTGGTACGAAATGACCCAAATGCCCCCAACTGCTGTCCAGCTGCTATGACATGAGCTGCCTAAGGTCTTACAAGAGGCCTGTTTACTGTCAACACCAGAATACGGCGCCAGTATGGGTCGGGATGAGCTCTTCCACGGCGGTCCAGGGTCGACTGCCGCGTTAACAGGAGCAGCAGCCGCCTGGCCGTCGGGCCGCCGTCACGGCAGTGCGAGCGCCGCCCGCGCTGACCCCGTCACACACTGCCCACCGGCGCCGCCCTCTGCCGCGGACGTGACACGCGTCCCGGCGCGCCCGCCCGCCCGGCGCCGGTGCTGCCCGGCGCCGGCCGGCCGACCACCGGCGCCGGCCGGCCTGCACCCGCCAATTAGCCGGCAGCCGAGTGCAGGCAGCGCCGTAACTAACGCAGCGCTGCTGACGGCTCCATTGCGCGCGACAGGAGGCCACGGCCGCGGCCATGACGCCGCCGGCGCCGCCGCGCCGCCGCGCCGCCCGCCCGGTACGGCACGGCGCGCAGCCGCAGCTCATTGTTCCGCCGGGAAGCGGCGAGCGGCCGGCGCGTCCGAGCGCCGTCCGCCTGAGTTATCGCGGCGATGAGCGCGGTTACGGCACCGCCGGCCGCAGCTAAGTGATTAAAAGGGGCCGCTACATGGCTGCCCAGCGCGTTACCTGCGGTTATGGGGCGTTCGGGCTCATAACCGAGACATAACGTTTACCGCGAGCTGGGAGCGCCGTTACGGTCTCGTTTCGGCGCGGTGCGCGGAAATTCTGCTGAGGCGTCTTCATTACCCCCGTCCCCCCCCCCCCCCAATTTGGTATAACACACCTGGCCACCAGACAGCGCCTCGCGTGTAATAGCCCTCGGCGTCGGCCGGTTCCGCGTGTTGCGCTCCCGGCTCGTCGGTCGGCCGGCGCAGCGGGCGGGCGGAGCCTTGCAGGGCGAGGCGACGCGCCATTGGAGTCGCTCGCCGTCGCCATGACGACCGGCCGGCCGCGCGTCGGCGGGCGGACGGACGCCGCACTCACCGGCGATGGTGTTGAGGAACATGAGGTACTCGAAGTTGGAGATCTCGCGTCGCTGCCACTTCTGCACCATGTTGGAGGCGCGGAACAGCTGACGCGGCGCCATCATGGACGCCCGCCTGCCGAGCAGCGGCGCCGCGGTCAGCGCCACAGCCGCGCTCCGTCAGTTAGTGGTCCGTTTACGACATATGTAAACATCCCGGGTGTAAGAACGGTGGTTGCTGGCTGAGGTTACTCCCACATGAATTGGAAGCGAGCGCACCACTAAATAATTAACGACATCACGAACAAGCTCACACCATTAAGCAAACAGCACACTTGCCAACATGACGTTAACTCCAACCCAGTGCATAAAACATCAACCGGGTAATCACTGATTAAAAGAACAGCAACCAACACAAACGAGGTTCTTGCACGGTCCTTTCGTGCAACCGTTCACGGTCCACCACACGGAAGAGTTCTGCCAGCATAGCCAGCGTGGGGATCGGCGGTGGTGATGGATGCAGCCCACGTCTCTGTGCGTATCTGCTTGCACCGGGCTGCACCAGACACAGCGGAATGTTCCTCCGGCCGCCGGCCCAGCCCTGTCGGTCCCGTCATCAGCAGCGGCGGTCGGCTCGACTCTCCCCCCCTCCCCCTCCTCGGAAGCCTAGTCCGCCGGTCGTCCCCTCCCCCCCCCCCCCGCCCGGTCGCCTGTCAGTGACGACCGAAGCCGTGGAAGCCCAGCCATCTCCTCCGTCTTGCTGGTCAAGCTCCTCAAGGGAAACATTGACTATGCATGGAGTAGTGGTTAGCTCGGGCCCGGCCTCACAATCTGATGGACCAGGTGAAATAACTCGAAATAGTTTACCTTTTGGAGACCGTGTGGAAACTGTTGGAAACAGTCGCAATATGTTGGCTGGACGCCGGTCACAGTGCACTGGACCATGTGCCTACATAGTGTTCATTGACCAACCTGCCTTGCTGTAGCTACAGCGAGTCGCATTTGAGGCCACTTTCGGAAGAGGTGGCAAAGGATTATCACGCGCGCACCTGTGCGCAGCGATCACATCGCTATATGACTCGCAAGCCGGCACTTTGTACAGCTGGCTCTATGTATCGGCCTGTCTAGATTGCCGAGAACGGAAATAAATGCTTCCACCACAGGAAATGTGTGGGTCCATGATTTGCCCACGATTACGCGTGATTGTGTCTGGACACGGCTCCACAGTTTTGCAAGCGTGACAGTTGGATTTTTCCTCTGTCCGCATCAGTCAAACCATCTCGCTACGACGCCTGGCCAGAGGTCAGGACCTGTCTCAAGCCCGCGCCCTTCAGGTTTCTCCCCAACGGATAACTGTGCGCTTTCCCGGTCAATCGGGGGTGAAGGGAAACAGCGGCGCCAGCACAAACTTACAGAGATACGTCGCCTGATCAAACAACCTAAATTGAGGCCTTTTTAGAATATGACGCTCTGAAATATTACACGGCGTTAAAAAATTGTGCGACTCGCTGCTGAAAACTTCATGTCTGTGCGATCAGTAGGAGCAAACCCTGGAGGCTGTCGAGAGCGTTACGGGCGTTACGGGCGTTACGGGCGTTACGGGCGTGACGGCCGGGTCGGCCCGCGGAAGCCGCCACACTTCCCGGCCGCTGACGTCAGACTCGCTCAGCCTGTCGCCTCGCTCGCACCAGTGCTGCTTCCAAAAACGGCGTTTTGAACGGGGCTGCCGGTTCGCAGTGTGACGTCATGCCCGGGATATTGGAGACCTGAACTCCCGAACAAGTTCAGAATTTTCCTCCGAAACAATTTCCAACTTCTGGAAAAATTCCATAGGAACTCAGCACGATGAATAGCCTTCTGGGAAATGGACCCCATTCGATTGCTTAACCGGGTACTCCTTGTTTAAGACACGGGCATGGGAAACTACCTTTTGCCATGCAGACAGAAACCTTCCAAAGATCATGACGGAGACATTGCAATTTCAATAAAATTATTTCCAAACGACGCCTTATAAGCTCCAAGCTGGGCTCCACGCACACGGGTGCCAGCACAGCGCAGTTGCAAACATCCACAGCGCAGGCCACTTCTCCTGCTTTACGCCCCTTCACCGAGGACATTTATTCCTCGGCCGCCGGTGCCGCCAGCTGCGGTGGGAGCAGCACAAGAGCTCGCGCCCCGCCCGAACGGCCGGGGGGGGGGGGGGCGTGCGCAGCCGGGTCGGGGGGCGGGCGGGGTGGGCAGGCGCGCCGGCGTCCAGCCGCCACCATCGTTCATCATCAGCGACGACGTCACATTTATCTCCGGCCGACCAAAACAAATCGTCATCTCGTCGCGGCTGATTCGTGGCCCGGGGCGGCGGGCGCGCGGCCGCCATCTGCTGCCCGCCTCCGCCGCCGGCTCCCGTCACCGCGCCATACCCACGCCTCGGTTCGTCAAACTACGAGCTTACGCGCTTTCGAAATCGCGCTGAGAAACCACAGATCAACATTGGCTGATGTTGCATTACTTCTGCTTTCAAGGGAGCGGCGAACAGAACGTGTCGCTGACGGCTCGTTCTCTGTCGCTTATGGGGAACGCAATGCGCGCATTAGAACCGAGTGGATTCGTCTCCGCTTTCCGAACCTCAGCAGTGGTCGGTCTGCTCCCCGCTCCGGCAGCAGCTGATGAGGTCTCACCTGGTCTGCGGAATGCCGTACTTGACGCCGACGCCGACCCGCGGCAACACCTTGATCACCTTCTTTACCGTGGCCGAGTCGGGGAAGTTGAACATGACGGAGGCTGCGGGCCACAGTCGGCGTGTCAAGGCCGTGACGGGGAGGGGACCGCTGAGAACGGCCGGCACTGTCGGCCCGACACGGCACGGCACGGCACGGCACGGCACGGCACGGCACGGCAAGGCGTGGCACGTCATGGCGCGGCATGGCGCAGCACGGCACGGCACGGCACGGCACGGCACGGCACGGCACGGCACGGCACGGCACGGCACGGCACGGCACGGCGCGGCACGGCGCGGCACGGCACGGCACGGCGACAAACCGGCCACGTCGACCAAAAGGTTGATGCGGGCTGGACTAGTACGGAGAGAACTGCAGCGTAGTTTGGTTTTGCCGGAACTCCACCGGCAGGGGTCCAGTCCCATATGACGACGGAAGGACTGCTTTCACCACATGGCAGCCGCGTCGCAAGACAGTCCGTCATGCTAAGAGACAGTCACATGCATTTCAAAGAGACTTTGCTGATAGTAAATAAACCATTTGGAACCCAAGCTTTTTTCTTTTCCCCATCTCCATCTATTCATCATCCCCACCATTATTTGGAGCTTTGAACAATCACACCTTGGACGATAGTGCGCAAAGGTCCTGTCCAGAAATTCGACACTAAACGAAGCCCTGCACCACCGAAGGCTCATGGGACGTAGCAGCCCAAGTCCCGGTTATTATTTTGAGACGTGAGCTCGAGAGACGCGAACACCAAGGTGTTGCTTTACTTTGTAACCGGCGTGACGCATTGCGACTGTCTACATCAGTGGGACAAAGTCATTGACAGTTAATGCGAATTACTTCGAATAGGTACCGTTATCGGCGCCCGACATTTACTGTCGAACCCGTCGAATGGCAAGGCGGTAACACAGAGCGGCGATAACACGGAGCGGCTGCAGTAACACGGAGCGGCGGTAACACGGGGCGGCGGAAACACGGGGCGGCGGAAACGCGGAGCGGCGGCTGTAACACGGAGCGACGGCAGTGTAACACGGAGCGGCGGCGGTAACACGAAGGGACGGTAACACGGAGCGACGGCGGTGGTAACACGGAGCGACGACGGCGGTAACACGTAGCAGCGGTGGTAACACGGAGCGGTGCCGGTAACACAGAGCGGCGGCGGTAACACGGACCGGCGCCGTTAATACGGAGCGACGGCGGTGGTAACACGGAGCGGCGGTGGTAGCGCGGAGCGGCGGTGGTAACACGGAGCGACGGCGGTAACATGGAGCGACGGCGGTGGTAACACGGAGCGGCGGCGGCTCGGAGGCCATCTCCGAGCCAGCTGGACAGGGCCGGCCGGGTGCCGCGTCAGCCAGTCACCGTGTTTGCTGTGGCCCGCCGGGTAGTCACTGGTGGATGGGGAACACGACCCCGGCCGGGCCAGACGTCACGTGCTGAGCTGGACAGGTTCAGGACCGGGCCGGAGCTCAGATGCTGACCAGGACAGGTCCAGGACTGGGTCAAAGGTCAGATGATGGCTAGGACAGGTCCAGGATCGGGGTGGTAATCAGATGCTTGGCAGAACGGGTTCAGGATCGCGGTGGTAGTCAGATGCTGGGCAGGACAAGTGCAGGATCGGGGTAGTAGTAGTATGCTGGATAGGACAGCCCAAGGCTGGGTCGCAGGTCGACTGCTAGCCCGCGAATACCCGACCAAAGCGACAACTAGAAGACGGCACCATTCCAAGACCACTGCAAAATCCCATGGGGCTGCATCAGCCGCGGTGCGTGATCGTCTGGTAGCCAGCGTCCACAGCTCTCCCGTGGGAGTACGAGTCCGAATTTCGGTTGCAGCATAGTCTCGAGGCGCCTTTGTCACCCATGTCATCGCTGGCACTCACTGAGGCAGCTCGAAGAGCCGTGCGTGGCGTTCCCGTAAGAACAAGAGATGCTCCAATTCCCTCCCCTGCCCGGCGCGAGCGCCCTCCAGCAGGTTTCTGCGCCCAGCGTTCGCTGCACAGCCCCATCAGCGGCCTTCGTCAAGCCCGCCGCCCACAAGACATCACCCGTGTCTCCCGCGCGGTGCTCCGCCGAACCCATCACCGCCATCCGACAGAACTGCGCGGTCCGGCCGGCGGCGCGCGTAAAAACCGCGCGCCGCCGGAGGCCGCCCCGGCGCATAAAAACCGCGCGCTGTTTGTTTTTGCCGCGCCGGCCTGTCCGGCGTCCGGCGCGGCGGGCCTGGGTGGGCTCGCCGGGCGCGGCCGTCGCCGAGCGCCGCCGTCACCATCGCCACCGCATGCCCGGGACGGACGGAAGACCGCGCGGGCGGTGGGCAGCGGGGTATCAGAGACGACTCAGCAGGGGCGGAAGCCACGGGAGTCGTCTCAGGAGCCGGACGTCACTCTGAAAGGTGGGAGGAGTGGGCGCCGCTGGGATCTGACATGGACATGGTCCGAGACAGGCCGGTCGTCAGCTCGGGATCCGCCTGGGATCGGGCTGGAGCTTCGCACCGTTGGATCTGGACCCGGATCCGGAGGTCAGATCCGGAGCCGGAGATCACCGAACGTGCTCCGGACTATTTGTCCGTGTCGACGCGGCAAACTGCGCGGAGCACGCGTCCGGACAGCGCTCACATGCGGCGTGAGACCACCGTCACCACATTCTCCGGACGCCCTGGCCCAGCCACTCTCCGGACACCCTGGCAACAGCCACCGTCACCACATTCTCCGGACACCCTGGTACTAGCCACCGTCACCACACTCTCCGGACACACTGGTGCCAGCCACCGTCACCACACTCTCCGGACGCCCTGGTGCCAGCCACACCCTCCGGACGCCCTGGTACCAGCCACCGTCACCACACTCTCCGGACCCCCTGGTGCCAGCCACCGTCGCCACACTCTCCGGACACCCCGGTACCAGCCACCGTCACCACACTCTCCGGACGCCCTGGTACCAGCCACCGTCACCACACTCTCCGGACACCCCGGTACCAGCCACCGTCACCACACTCTCCGGGCGTCCTGGTGCCAGCCAGCTCCACGATGGCCGCTGCATAAGCTGGTGAGCGGCCGAGCCTGCCAGCTGCGGCGACCGGTTGCCTCCGACTGCGGGTGTTGGGGTGCGGGTGCACGGACACGGTTGCGGGTGCGGGTGCACGGACACGGTTGCGGGTGCGGTAGCACGACCCGCCGGGCGGGGCACTCACTTCTGGAGGCGAGGAATATCTCGATGGCCGTGTTCTGCAGCAGGTAGCGGCGCGAGAAGATGGCCCGGATCTCCGTGAAGTGCCATTTGCCGTGCACGTGGTCACAGTAGCGTAGCACCTGCAGCAACCACAGAGACAGTGACATCAGACGTCAGCAGCGCGGGGTCAGCCGTGGGCGATGGCGTGGCGCTTCGCTAGACCGGTGCCTCGTTGACCAAACCCATTAACTACAGGTTTAAGCGATAAGAAAACAGCGCAATCATGTCTTGTGAGAAATCCGTAATGACCACACGATCGAATGTTGAAGGGGGCAGCCCAAGTGGGTGCACCGTGCTGCTGCCTTTAAGACATCCGAGGGATCAAGGCAGTATATTTCCGTCCTAACCTCTTCATGAAAAGATGCTTGCATTCAGCAAAATGCTTAAGATTCATGTAAACAAACCTGATATGTAGATGGCATGCGCTCTCTTTCCACAAATTCGACATTCGTTAGATTCCATGACATCGTTTGATGGGTGAGCGGTACCAAATCAGGGCGTGTCATCGAATTTACTCACGACTGAACACAAGCAAGCAAACTATCACCTACCCAAAATTACTTAATACGTCACGTGAATGTTTCTCACCAACTCAACATCAGCCATAACTCACGCGTGACGTATCAGTACGAGTCCCAACAAGCCACATATGAGCTCGCCGGAGCCCATTTGGTTAAGATGGCGTAGCTGCTAGCAAAATACCGCAGATGCGGTCGTCGAATTCCACAGAAGCTGTGCGGCTGACATTCGTTAATCAAAGCTGACTTATGGAAGAGCTCTCTCCAACCCAACCACGCATGCACGGGTCCACTGTCGCGAACGTAACTTCTGAACTGTTCCGGAAATGACCATAAAGCAGCCTGGGGAGCGCTTCCCGACTACACCACCCCTGCACCACACGTGACGGCGGCCGGTGAGCCCACTGCCCGAAGCAGAAGCAGGCCAACCAGCAACGACATGATAGTGCGACGATAGCCGACAACAGTCGACCCATTGCACCACCTGCAACACTAACCAGATCACGCCCGACAGCCGAGTCGTGCGAGAGGGGAGGGGGCACATGCGGGAGGGGGAGTAACGAGCGGCCGTAAATCCTGCGCCGACGAGGTGGCAGCGACGTGCGGAAATGGCGCCATCGACTCGCTCGTAAACCGAGCCGTCATTACCGGCTCCGAGAGCGACGACGCCGAGCGGCGGCGCGGCGGGGCTGATGCATTACACGGTAAGTGCGGCATCGCTGCGAGATGGCCGTAGCCATGACAGATCTGGCATTCTTGGCGAGCCGCCGCTGTACAACACAGTAAAGCGACGACGCCATGTATCGTCACGCGGGAGCCGAGCCGACGTCGCCACTCTGATGGCACTGAAGACGGGCGGTCGGCGTCACCAGATGGCAGCGGTGCCGCCCAGCGGAGCTCCACTGCTGGAGGAGTGACGCCGCCGGCCGTCACCAGACGGCAGCGGTGCCGCCCAACGGAACTCCACTGCTGGAGAGGTGACGCCGCCGGCCGTCACCAGACGGCAGCGGTGCCGCCCAGCGGAGCTCCGCTGCTGGAGGGGTGACGCCGTCGGCCGTCACCAGACGGCAGCGGCGACGCCCAACGGAGCTCCGCTGCTGGAGAGGTGACGCCGCCGGCCGTCAGCCGCCAGCTGACGCGCAGGGGCGCCACCGGGCGTGATGTCAAGGAGCTGGAGCAGCTGTATGACGCTGCTGCCAAGACGTTGTCACACACGTCACGTCCGCGTCGTGCCATGGACAAGGTCGGCCGGGGATCAGTCGTTACTTGATCGACAACTCAGGGCAGCGCCCGTTTCTGCCCTACTTCTAAACGAGCCAAACCCGCAGAGGGGTCAGTCCTGCCACATGCCGATCAGGCCGGTCCCAAGCCACGCACATACACCCTGGCCCTTGCGCCACGGTCACCCGCCAGTCCATCGCGCCCCCTTCTGCTGGTCAGCATTTTCTGGAGCTCTACAACCAGCCCGGAAAGGCCCGGTGAGGATCGACACCCCCGGCTCACAGGGCCCACTCTGCTGGGGTGTGGTCCAGTGAGGAGCGACACCCCGGTTCCCGGGGCCCACTCTGCTGGGGTGTGGTCCAGTGAGGAGCGACATCCCGGTTACCGGGGCCCACTCTGCCAGGGTATGGCCCGACCCGGCCCAGTCCCGCCCCGCCCGCTGCAGCCCGACCCGACGGGTCCGGAGACCGACGCGGCGGGTCCGTCGAGCGCCGCCCGGCAGGTGGTGGGCGGCCCGGTGCGGCCGGCCGGCGGCGCGTGGCTGGGCGAGCGGGCCCCGTCCGTCCGTCCGTCCGTCGGCGGGCCATTAGGGCGCGGCGTTAATTCAGCCGGGCCGGCGCCGATCGAAGTCCGACGACAGGCTGATGTACGGCCGCCACTTGATGGGATTGGGACCGCCCGCCGGCCGGCCGGCGGCACGTGTCGCGGTGAGCTGCCGCCGCGGGCGCCGCGCCGCACCGGATCACTCGGCCGGCTCATTACCGGCGCCGGCGGGGGCGGCCCGGCCCGGCCCAGCCCGGCCCGGCCCGACCCAGCCGGCAGCACGCCGTGCTGAACATATCGGGTACCAGCAAACGGTACAGAGCCCACCGCGTAAGCTGCCATGGCTTTGCCTGTGACGGCGAGCCGACAAAGGCCTGGCTCGCCGAACGCGGCCTGAAAAGTTGCATGCGTCCCCCGTCGGGTGATTCGAGCACCTGGCTGCAGTATGAATACCGGCTACCAGGCTCCATGGGCCAATGATGGTTTGAGCCAAACCGTGGCTGCCGACGTACGACAGATGCGTTGTAAAGCACGCCAAGGGCGAGGAATGCTTCACAAACACTTTGGACGACGGCAAAGAGGACGTTTCGTAAAACCCAAGCCGGCTCATTTACCAGTTCAGTGCCCAAGCAGCACTGCCATGACACATAGTGTTGCAGTACCGCTGCCGACGACTTCGCTACACGCCAAAGCTGCTGTGCTCCTCCGCGGACACGGGGTCCAGCCGCCGCGCTCCTCCGCGGACACGGCGTCCACTGCTGCGCTCCTCCGCGGACACGGCGTCCAGTCGCTGCGCTCCTCCGCGGACACGGCGCCCAGCCACCGTACACGGCGTCCAGCCACTGCGCTCCTCCGCGGACACGGCGTCCACTGCTGCGCTCCTCCGCGGACACGGCGTCCAGCCGCTGCGCTCCTCCGCGGACACGGCGTCCAGCCGCCGCGCTCCTCCGCGGACACGGCGTCCAGCCGCTGCGCTCCTCCGCGGACACGACGTCCAGCCGCCGCGCTCCACCGCGGACACGGCGTCCAGCCGCTGCGCTCCTCTGCGGACACGGCGTCCAGCCGCCGCGCTCCTCCGCGGACACGGCGTCCAGCCGCCGCGCTCCTCCGAGGATACGGCGTCCAGCCGCCGCGCTCCTCCGCGGACACGGCGTCCAGCCGCCGCGCTCCTCCGCGGACACGGCGTCCAGCCGCCGCGCTCCTCCGCGGACACGGCGTCCAGCCGCTGCGCTCCTCCGCGGACACGGCGTCCAGCCGGGCCGCGTCGACACCGGCCGTGAGAACCGAACGCCGGCCGAGTCGGCGGCGATCGGGCCCATCCGTCAGCGGGCGGCCGCGGCCGGCGCCGCATCGCATCTGCATCACTCAGTCGGCCGGCCGGCCGCAGACCGGCGGGCGGCGAGATTGCTCCCGCCCGGCAGTCGCGCGCCGCACGCCGACCGGAGCCGGAGTGCGGGGAGGCGAGGCCCTGCTCCGGCTCAGTGGCAGAGCTGCTCAGACTTCTGGCCGGACGCGGTGATGCACTGAACTTGTCAATTAGCAGTCGTCTCGCCGAACGACCCGACAAAGGTTGACTGACAACAGCATAATCCGCTGAATGACGCCAGTGCTCTTCAGCCATTGTGCGCCAGTAAGCGGACCCAAACGACGGACACACTGGGGGGACGATTGGTGATCACCAGGTCTCCGTCAAGCGCAGTCTCCAGGAGCCGACGGCCGCGTCTCCTGCTCTCGTGCCAACACGGCAGCCTGGTACTGACAGGCACCCATCAGCCGTGCCATCAAGCGCGAGACTGACGCGGCCGACGTGCGAGGCGCGGCACAGACCCGGCGCGCGCCATCCGCCGCTGACAAACCGCTCGGCGCCGGCGCGCCCGCCCGTTTAGCAATCGTCCATCCCACGGTTCACCGGTACCGGCGGGCCGCGCACAAAAAAGCCGCCGTCTGGCCGGCCGGCCTGCGCGGCGGCCCATTCATTACGGACGCGGCGCCAGCATGCTGCGCGGCGCAGCATCGGCCGACGCTCAGGGGGCGGCGGCGGCGGCGGCGGCAGCGGCGGCAGCCTGGCGGCAACGGCAGGTTGTCGCCGGCGGCGGGACGTCTGGCCGCTGGCGGCCGCGGCGCTGGGGCCCAGCTGAGGGCGCTGGGGCCCAGCCGGCTATCCGAGCCCTGGCACGACCTCGCCGTGGCGGATCAGCTGCCGACGCCGGACCACCCGCCACGGGTCGCGAGGTCATCCGCCGAGCCGGCGCACACGCAGCGGCGCGGCGGGTCCACGGCCTCTCGTGATATGGCGTCGGTGGGTGGCGGCAGGAGACAGGCGCACAGCCAGCCGAGGGAACCCTGTCATGTGTTTCTAGAGGACGAGACGACTCTGCGTGGCCGGTGACGACGGGCAACTACATCATCTGCTCCTGTTATTTCCTCCACAATTATCCCAGCACCCGGTCCCTGTACCAAAGGTGCCCGCATGGCGTCGACTAGCCGACCTTGACTTTGACAGCAGTGACCACCGGACCTCAGAAATGTGCCGGCCGATAACCCATCATTAAGAAGCATAACTGTCACCAACGTTCAGCCCTGAATAAGACATTTTCCGGACGTATAACTTTTATGCGTACTCGAGAGAAACATTGCTGCATACGCGTCTGCACGTGTGCAGCCACAGCGCCGCCAGCGCCGCTGGTGTGACCTATCTGGACCGGCTCCGCAGGGCGGTGACCGGGCGGGCCGACTCTGGGTCGGGGCCGGCCGGGTCCGGTCCTGCCCAGCGCCTCTATCTGCCGCCCGATCGCCGC